ATCGACTATAAGCTATAATAATCGATCATATTCTCTCATTTTTCTAAAATCGTTCAAGCGACTTTATCATCGCTCGAGCGAAGCCACCTGATAGAATGGGGATTCTCGGGTTGTGTTTCGCTTGAGCGACTATAGTCTCGCTCGAGCGACATTTGATTGACTTTGCAGAGCGGTTAATATTTTAACCGCTCTTAAAAGTGAACATATAATAACGGTTCCATGTTAACCGCTATCTAAAATATACTTTTAATAACGGTTATTTCTAGAACCGCTCTTTTTAGTAGGTTTAGATAGCGGTTTTCAGAACTGCTATCTAAAGTCCCAATTTAAAAAAAAATTGCTTAATATTTGGTTTGCTTATTTGGTCCAAAAACTAGGTTTGCTTTAAAATTATCTAAATTCCCAATTTAAAGTCTCAGGACTATTTTAATATTATTGGTTTGTTATATACTGAAATGTCTACAATTAGGTTTGCTTTTTTTGAAGGTAGTTTGCTGTTATCATGCAGTGTGATTTTTATTACATGTCTTTCATTCGACGTAATATAGAACCGATGATTGTTACGTAAATGTATGGACCATCAACTGCTTATAAATGCATTGAAGAAATTAAAATTGTTGTTACATTGTTATATTTACATCCACAACTCTTACAGGATCAGATTGTATAGTCTACACTACTGTTGCACGTCTATGTCCTATCATATATACTCTAACAAAATCAGAATGTATAGTCTACACTGCTGTTGCACGTCTATGTCCTATCATATATACTCTAACAAAATCAGAATGTATAGTCTACACTACTGATGACGTTATCCAGCCAACAAGACATTGAATAAATAAAAACACTCGTCAATCAACATTGTTATATTAACACTTATGTCCTGCAAGTTGAAGAAGAAATCATTAGTATACATCAACGTCATGCAATTCTAAACTAATGTAATATTCATTGTTGACAAGTATTTCATTAAAAAAACAATGTTTCCAAACTATTTAGTTGAGGAAGACAATTGTGTGCCGTCAACATTACTGTCAAGTGATGTCAACAACGACACAAAACCAGTGGTACCCAATGTTGATGGCTGCAAAGGGCAACAATTACATGAGTTTTGACAAATGACTTTACTGCCATTTTACATAACATAAACTGCATAAACAGTATATCAATCCCACAAATAAATTCAAATGAATTGCATATCACACTTTAAATAAAGCAAATTCAATTGAACAATCACTATAACATGAAATAAATTTCATTTTTGACACACACCAATCCAGATGACCGATAATCAACATGAGTTTTTATATGAAGGGTTGAGTTTAATAACTCGGGCGAAGTTCCTTCAGTGTTCCCCTGTAATGGCCAAGATAAGATATTAATGAACTTATGAAATCATCCAATACAAAATAACATGACAGTTGTGGATATAATACTTACAATATTTGTGGTGCACGTGTGCTGGCCTTTATTTTGTAACCTTCGCGTTGCAATTTTTTCACTTGTTGACACCTTTCGGAGTGAACATGGTCTTCCTTTCCTTTTAACATGCAACGGACTACGAATATCAATGTCAACGTTGTCAACATATAAGCTTTGTGAATCTCTAGGAGTATTACTTTCACAGATATTGGTATCTATTTGAGTTTGAGAACGTTGAGATGTATGTGTTGGAACAAATCTATTCATCATTTCATGCAACATGTCCGTCTGCTCAATTGACTCTGATGCAACTTCAGCAATCTCATAAAATCTTTTGCACAACTCATCGTATCGTTCAATCTGCGGTTGCTTCTCCTTTACATTGTAGGTGGTTTTCATATAAGTATGCTTCCTTCTCACATTTTTACTCCATCTACTTAAAATGTATTTGCAGGGAATCTTTTTAACCCTTTGTTGAGCAAGGACGACCAAACAATGTCGGCAAAGAATACCTTTGAATTCAAATAGCAAGCACGTGCAACTGACATTTTGGTCATCACGGTTGAAACTTACACTGTACAGGTGTTCTTTAGAATCTTCACCACAAATAGATTCCTCCATAACGTCATAAAACCAAGCAGATCCAAGGCAAGACACATGCACAACACTGCAGTTTATTTTTCCTCTAAATTCTGCTTGAACCTCTGCAAATTTTGAATGTGTATACTCCGACTGAAATTGCCTCTCTATCGTAGACTGTGATCCACAATTAATAATTGTATGCATGGATGCAAAATCAGCTTCATATTCCTTCTCAGCCTTGTCTTGTAAGGCATTTTCATACTGCTTGACAAATTGTTGGAGGGATGTCATTGAGTTGATATATCCATCAAAAAATGCATTCATACTTTCACTTCGTTGTGTAGTTGACATCCCAGCCCAAAATTGGTTTTTCAAAAAGCATGGAACCCATCTCTGTTTCTCTTGGAAAAGGCTATTCAACCACTCATTGTCTTGTAAGCCAAAATCTGATATGAAATTAGCCCATTTGGATGTGAATTCAGATATGGTGGAAGACTCATAAACAACCTCCTTCATAGCATACTTCATATTTTTATATTCTGTATAACCTTTCAACTTTTCTGGAATTTTTTTCATTATATGCCATAGACACCACCTATGACGGGCTTCAGGAAAAACTATCTGAATGGCATTTTGCATTGCCTTGCACTGGTCAGTGATAATACCCGTAGGAGCCTTCAATGACATGCAACGTAACCATGATTCAAATAACCAAATAAAAGAAGTGGTGTCTTCACTTGATAACAACCCACACCCTAACAATATGGAGTGTCCATGATGATTTACACCCACAAATGGTGCGAACGACATGTCATATTTATTGGTCAAGTATGTTGTATCAAATGAAACAACATCGCCAAAGTATTCACAAGCCGCCCTACTTCTAGCGTCAGCCCAGAAAACATTTTTGATACGATTATCATCATCCAAGTCTATATCAAAATAGAAATCCTTGTTTAAGTCCCTCATTTGTGAAAAATAATTCAATAGAGCTTTCCCATCACCTTCTTTTCCTAGTGCACGTCTTTGTTTATTGACATAGTTGCGTACATCTCGTTCGACAAATTGGAGGTTTTCATAACCTCCTGCACTACTAACAACTGACCGAAAGCTTTTATTGATCCTCACACATGCATCATCATTTATGTCTAGAGTCCTCTTCACATGCAAACTAATGTTCCTATTGCTTCGAAACATTCTGGATTTCTTTGGGCTAAGAGAATGTGAATGTTCATCATTTACCGACATAATATACCATAGTCCTTCCTTTAATACAACTGTTATCCGTGCAGGACATGAATTTGTTTTGGTGGGTTGGGTTCTAATTTCAGTAGGTGTAGCAGAAACATACTTACCAGCCCTTGCACACACCAACATGAAGTACCGCAATTAGTTATCGGGCCCCTTCTTTGAACTCCTTGTTTTGATGCCAAATCCTTTTTGTATGGCATATTGTCGATAAAATGATTTAACTGCAACTGCAGTTTCAAAGGACATTCCTACACATGGAACAGAACCGTCGTATTCTGTTGTAGTCCTGACATCTGCGTCAGGAGATCCTTCATCATGGCCAACCAACACTTCTTCATGTAAACTTGTGACATCTGCATTACTGGGTATTTTATCATGTACACCTATCATTTCTTGGTCTACACCTTTGAGAGGACCATCACATTGTTGTACATCCGCATCACTACCTATGTCATCATACACGGCCAAAATGCCTTCATTGACAGCTACATCTTTGTTTTCATTTATATCTCCCATGCTAGATAAACGATGAAGGATACAATTCCTACCATTGCCAACAATATAATAGCAAGTTATATAAGTTCGGAACTTGGAGACGAAAATAGTCCATGTAAATGCTCAATCGTTTATCTACCCAAAAAACACAATTTCAGATCACAATGGAACGCGAACTTGGCGACACACAAATATATTACAATGTAATATGCTTCAATGTGAGCAAGAGAATCAGAAAGATTGAAAATACAAAGAACGTACCTTTAGCTTAATAGAAGACGCAGACAGCGAGAATGAGAGCGCAGAGAGCGAGAATGAGAGCGCAGAGAGCGGCAAAAAAACCAGACAGAAAGAGCGCGAGGTTGAAAAAAGTTGGAGGGAGGGATTAAAAAAAATAGCACTTTAGATAGCGGTTCACTCCTAACCGCTCTTTAAAAGTATGACATTAGATAGCGGTTATTTCTGAACCGCTAATAAAACATACTTTAGATAGCGGTTCACTCCTAACCGCTATATTATACGTATTTTTAACAGCAGTTTTTAGTAACCGCTATCTAAAGTTTAATATTTTTTTAATCAGTTGTCGAATGGATGTTTAAAATGGGTGTCAAAATATCGGGACTCTTAAGTAAAATTCTTAACTTACAAAACCGATTTTGTAGGATTGAATTAGGTATCTCACAATTTTTAAGCACAATTTTTAAGCAGTTCATTGTTTTCTTAAGCTACAGGTAGTCTATTTTATTTTCCTTCCAGTTTATCACAGTACGGGTAGTCTAAAACATAAATCAAGAAAATAAAATAAATTTAATATCAGAGAGAAATAAAAGGGCCAGTTTGATTTTATTTTATTTTTTGAAAAAAAAAACTAAAACAAGTGAAATCTAATAAACATATTTTTCTGTATTTAGAGTAGAAGGGCACGACATAAACTGGGGCAGATAAAAAGGAAGAAGGTAATCACATATTTTAGTTATTGTTAACACAAATCTAAACCTTCAGCATAATGGCCAGACAAACTTAAAAAGTTAATTCATTCTTCTAAAAAAATTCAGCTTGAAAATTATAAAAATAAAACAAAGATAATATTCTTCTTGCTTATTTTTTTCTTTTTAATTTATCGAGAAAATCTGCTGGAAATTTTGATACAAGATCTTAATAAAGTTTGATCATCTATTTAATCACTACATTGCACCAGTTTGGGACCAAGATGGAGACTAGTATAAAATCTAAAGCATAGAATCATCTTACACATGCTCTCCGATGGAGGCACTCCCAGACTAAATCTTTGTCTCATACCTTCAAATGATGAAAAAGCTTGCCAGAGAATAATAATAGTTATTAAAATAAATAAAAGCATACCTCTTCAAGCAAATTAAGTGGGCCCCAGTGATCGTCAACACCAAATAAAAATGCCAATTGAGCCTTCCTTTCTCTCATAAATGTCCAATCTGGTGTCTCTGAAAGCTGGCAGGTTAACCACATGATTATCAATGCAGTTTAGGATATTTTACCTTTTGATACCCTGATGAAATATGCCCTCTGTCCCAGTCAATTTACCTGTTCATTTTTAAATTCTCAATTTCAACTTATTTTATCATTAGATAGTTGTATCCTTGTTCTACTTTATGTGACATGTTATCTTCCACATCAATGAGACAAGTGCCACATGTAAACTAAAAAATTGCTAAATAGTAAAACAAAGTGAAACAGCTTTATTATAATTTATAAATTTTGAAAGGTATATTTGAAGATAGGAATAGTTACCTTTCGGAACTCAGTCATGGCCATATACAGGACATTCCGCATGGTATGGTACTGTGAATTATTAATGTTAGTTAATACAAATATGGTGCAGATCAATCCACACAGTAAATAGCTGCAAGTCAATATCGTTTAAATGTATAAGAATTTGCATTGTCATTTCTAATATAAGTAAAAGGATCAATAAGAAGAAAAATCAAAACAAAATGAACTAAATTACAAGTTTAATGTGACTTTTCAGTCAAGCCCTCTTAGAACAGTATAGCTAACCTGGGACAAGTGAGAGCATGCAGCCTCAACTGCATTGACTGACCATGACTTCCCAAGGGATTTTCTGACCATAAACCTTAAAGCCCGAACAGGTAACAATCCTAATGATGCTATCAGGTAACTAAGAGCAGAAGCTAGAACTTGAGACCTGAAAACCAATGTAACAACAGTTAGTCATTTCACATAAACTAGTCTATGATTTTCAAAATAAAATAAATAGTAGCAAATTTTCAAGCTAAATATTTAGCAATAATAAATAGATAATTACCACTATATAATTTATCTGAAGTTTAGGTTCAGATCAAATTATTGAAATTGTTTTTATGCTTAAATAGAATGCCATGTGGTGTGAAATAGAGTGAACCACATCAAAATTTGAGATATCTAAGCTCATAATGTCACTATTATTCATTTCATCTCTAACAAAATAGGTAAGTCATGTGTTTGACTTGGGGAAGGGGGGTGAGACTTACTTTGCAATTTTTCCAATAAATAACTGTGTTGTTGACTGCAGGTTTAATGTCAAAAATGGATAAAGTCCAATGCAATATTTCACCTACAGAGCATAGGAGAAAATGCAAGTAGACAATTTACGAAGATCAGAAGTGATGGACAGATGGCATGATGGGTTCAAGTTAATTAAATATGCATCGTTCCTATAACCTTCTCTGGAGACTTCTTGAAAATTTCAATAGATATGTATGAACCAATAGAGTGCCCAACCTGGAGAGAAAATTCTAAATTAGCTACCAATTTTCATTTCAGAATGAAATTAAACTTTTCTAGATGTTGTGAAAACACATATAACAGTTACATAGAAATAGCTTTAGCTAAGAACTCGACACAAAGTGATTCAATTATAGTCCTCCAAAATTGTTCGGTTTTAGTGGATAAAAGGATGTTTGGTGTTACATGCAAACAAGTTTTGAACTCTGTACCTCTAATATCATCCTTTATGTCAAAGGAGAAGGGAGACTGGTTAAATTCATATGTCATGTCATGACAAGAAATATATTCTGATAAGACACTATTAATTAGACTATAATATCATGGACATCTTTCTTTAACAGCAATATAACAAATTATTTCTCCAAGCTCATCAGAAGCACCACACACATGCATAAGTATAGTGGCAGATGAACACAAAAATATACAAAGTATTAGCCCCAAAATTTTAAATTACAAAGCACCATCATAAAACAGGAGAAAAGATTTGCATCTTGTATTATTACATGACTACTATTTTTCAAATAAGGATTTTTTTTTTCAGTATGCAGCATCTTGGTGTTTTAGCACATACAATACAACTCTGCAGATTAACATGACTTTGGAAAAGAATAATGAACATGAGATGTAGAAGAACCCACCAGTAATATAGGAATCTCAATATTTTGCAATTCCTCTCGGATGAAATCAATCTACAAACACACAGGGAAAGTAAAAACTTTGACTTCTATCAGTCATTAACACTGTAAAGGTAAAATTATCTAACTCAACAATGATGAATGTCAATCATAAAAGAATGGAAGTTTATAAAATGAAAATGTAATCATGTAGAGAGAGAGAGAGAGAGAGAGAGAGAGAGAGAGAGAGGAATGCATGTGGATTAAATATGATAAATTCTCAATATGCCAACACAAAAGCCTCCACATGACATACTAGAGATAATTCCATGATGGCAATTCTTCTTTCAATTCAACAGTTGTGCACACTACAATCGGAATGAAAGTTTAGATACTCAATTCCGCCAGAGTTTTCCTACCATCCAACAATACATTAGATGAATCTGATGTTTCACAGAATTTCCAAAAAAGAATGGAAGACTTCAAAGTTATTCTGATTCACTAACTTACTCAATTTTGTAGTAGAAATCTAAGGGTCAGGGAAGGGGAGGACTTCCCATTGTACAGCACACCAAGTATAACCAATAAACCAATTTATAAATGGATATTGACATAAACCATTGATCAGTTTCTCTCACCAAACCAGCCAATGATTGTTAAGATTAAAATAGCAAGCCTTATACTCCCTCAGTTCCTTTTTATCAACTGTATTTTAAGGTTGTTTTGCAGAAACAAAAAATACAATAAATTTTCTCAATTCCAATAAAATAGTTGTGTAGCCTTCTATTTTATCTCTCTATCTAACACAATAAATATATGTGTAAATTATTTAAAAATTAGAAAACACATAGGATATGATTGATGAAAGAATAATTAACATGATCTTAACAAATGACAATAAGTAAGAACAAAAATTCTTCAAAAATCCGACACTTAAAAAGGAACAAAGGGGTATTACCTTGTGATCAATTTGTTCTTGTAAAGAAAACATGCGTCCTTTTTCCAAGTCCTAGAGACAAAACCCTGTAAGAGTCGTTCTAACGCCACTCAAGCAAATCAATCGAAACAAAGTGTATGTACCTTTCTTGAGTGAGAAACATGGCCAATAGCTGCTAATTCACGGAGAAACATGACTAATGAGCATAATTGTCAACCAACTATCCATATAATAAATAGCAAGAAAGAAAGAGCTTCCATTATTTTTCTCACCTGTCACAGACGCAGTTCCCTCCAGTAGCTCATATAGAAATTCCACAAAGTCCTTGTAGAATAAAATAACTCCTGCAACAACCAAAAAAACCAAAAGCCTGAAACAACTAAACAAATATAACCTGGAAACATAAGCACGCAAGCACATAATCGAGGCCACACCTGGGTTTCCAGGAACAAACAGGACATGCAATTTAGGAGCCTCAGCTCGAATCTCCAATACTTCAGAAATGTGACTAAACAAAAAGGAAATTTAAATGACGGAATAAACAAATAAAATCGTCGTCAAAATTCAAGGTTCGAGATTACAATACATACCCTGACACATTGCATAATCGAAAATTAGCACGCCTCATAGGTTCGGCTAGCAAATTGTTGTCCACAGTCATGTTGTAATTAACAAGACACTTCGTGTTATACCTTGTCCAGGAAGACAAAATATTAGGAATGAAAATGATTAAAAAATGTATAAATGAATTGAGGGGACGGTATATGGAGGAAAAATTAGGATAAAATGATAAATGAAGTTTGCATAGGTTATCCTAATGAAAATGTAACAGAAATGCACATCTGAGAGACAATGCTTGTGAGATTAATGCATTGCCAAATTTGAACAGGTACGGAGAACTGTAGAGAGAAAAACGAAAACACGCACTGAAATTGCAAAGCAAGGATTTGAATAGGCACTGAGAACTGTAGAGAGAAGAAATGGGAGAAGGAAGGGAAAGTACCTGGTGGAAGTGAGAGGAGACAACAGCAAAGAGTGAGAGAGGAATCGAGCACTCCAGCAACAAGAAGCCAGACGAGGAAGCATTTGGTTGAGGGTGCTGCGTTACTCACAACACAGTTACCGAATTAGGTACACGTCATTCCTCTTTTAATTTTTTTTTTCTGAAATAATTGGGTATCTTTGAAAAAACAAATTATTTGTCTGATTTTTCTCTTTTTAAGAAATTTGAATACAAACAGTGAAAATAAAGTTATCAGAATCATAAAGGATTTTAAAAGGTTATTTTTCACTGTACCCATTTTTTTTTCTCATAGTATATCTAAAATGTTAAACATGTATTTCACATATGTGAATACAGAAGACCCAGTCGAGTATGATCCTGTCTAATAAAAAATTGTGATAATTCAGCGTGATTTATATATTGAAAGGGACTAAATATTTTAGTCTAATTTATCACTATCTTAGACTAATAGATTAACATGTAAATTTTAATCTGATTAGATTTAAAAAAATATTAAATATTTATATAAAACTAATTAATTAAAAATATATTTAAATAAAAGTAAATAAATTATTTTAAAAATTTAAATTTTATTAATAAAATTAATTTTTATTTAAAATATAATGATTTAATATACAAATTATAAAAAATACATCTATTTAATTTTAAAGTAAAAATTAAAAATTTACTTATTATTATTATTATTTATTTTTAGTAATTTATTAATTTAAAATAATAATTAATATTAATAATTAAATTATGAAATAAGTGATTATTATATATTTATTTTGATATTTCCTTTTAGAGTAAGTGAATTATGTGAAATTAATTTATAATATACATATATATTTAAAAAATAATTATTATTCTATAAAACGGATATATTTATAAATTTATCGGTTAACTTGACCTAACTCATATAGGTCATGATCTAAATAGGTTAGACCAAAGTATGTATGATTCAATTTAAACCACAGTTCTTTTTTTATCTAGTCTGACCTATTTCTTAAGCTTTTCGTACTGGTCTATCGAGCTAAACCTATCTTGACATCCTTAATCATATCTGAACACTAGTACATGTACTTAAGGGTATTAAAGTGAGTCAACTCGGCTCACACAGGCTGACTCACCACGATCTGAGCTGAAAATAGACGAGATCAACTTGACTCATTTTATTGCGAACCAACAATTTCACAATCCGGCTCAACCCACTACGGGTTGGTGAGTTAGGTGGTTTGACTCACCAACCCATATTTATTTATTTTTTCAATTTTTTTTCTAATAAGCATGACTTAATCACGGATCAGAAACGTAGTGATGCGATAACACGACAAATGTTGTGATGCGATTAAAACGTGAAAATGCTAGTCGTGAGACTAAATTACAGTCGTGCGGTAGCGTGGCAAACTCCGTGACACAACTGAATGATAAACATTGTGGTGCTACTGAAATGCAATGGTGTAGCAAATGTTGTGTTGCAACAAATGCAATGAACTTAATGGCATATTGGTGCGATAGACAGATGGCAAGTGGCCCCATGTGCAGTAGTGAACGCAGTGGTGCAACGAACAATTGATAACAAATTTGATTGAGAGTTTGCCTTGTAACGACGACGTGAAGTAGATGTGAAGAGAAAATATAACATAAATTAGTGTTACTAAATTATACCATTATTTTTAAAATTTAAAATAAATGGTGGGTTGTGAGTCTACTCATCATAACGGAACTCGTAATAAGTCGGATTGACTCATGAGTTATCATCCATAATTACACCCTCATTCGTACCTCTTCCACTTCATTTTCATTTTAAAGTTAGAAATTTGTTAATGATATATATTTTGAATCGTATAACATATCGTGCATCTAAAAAAGTAATATAAAAAAAAACATTTGATTGCATAGTGATATTTGAATGGTTGAATCTAGAATCCATTCTTAAAAAACACAATCTGATAATAAGTTTTTTATATGCTAATCTAAAACTCATTTATATATTATGTTTTTGGAAATGTATTATACATTCAACAATCTAGAAATAAATTTTACATTTCTAAATTTAAAATATATTTTCAAAAAATACAAACTAGAAATACTTTCCAGTAAAACACAATTTAAAACTCATTTATAAATTGTGCTTTTTATAATTGTTAGATATTTTAGATATTATAGATATTATTAGTCACAATATATGTATTTACCATATTTACTTGTATGACTCTTAATGATAAATATATTACCCTATGTGTATTTTAGACATAAGAAAATTAATCTTATACCTAATTTTTCACTATATTCAACATGGTATCTAGAGCTTACATTTTTTTTTTCTTGTCGTTGTTGCCCTTGCACTTGCCGTCTTCGCCACCACCACTGTCGCAGGAGTTGCCACCGATGCTGGAGTCGTCGTTCTGCTCATATCGACTAGGTAACCACTGTATCATTGAGATCGTCACGATCAGAGTCTCCATGCGTTATTTAAAGTTTTTAAGGTTTTTCTCTCTCTCTTCCTCTATGGCTTCTTCTGTTGTCCCACAATCATCTATTGTAAATCATACGTCATCTTATACCGGAGATAATATGTTATTTGTAATAAATTTTTCAAATGATATGAGATTCGTCAGAACTCTAGTTCCACTATTTTTGTTGCACTCACAGGTACATTTTTTGTTAACCTAACTCAATCTCCTTCTATTGGACCTTGAATTCTTGATTCAGGCATCACATATTATATTACTGGGAACAAATATTTGTTTTCTTCTTTATCCTCTTTGAATAATTTACCTTCGATTACAATGACTAACGAGTCTAGGGTTTTGCCTCATGATATTGATACTATTAAACTTTTTTCATCTTTATCCATTGATAATGTTCTTTATGTCCTTGAGTCTCCCTTTAACTTATTATCTATTAGTTGTCTAACTTGTTTTCTTGATTGTGTTATTTCTTTTACCAAAGATCTTGTTTATTGATAGGACCGGAGTTTGAGACAAATAATTGACATTGGATATGAGTCTCATGGTCTTTATCATCTCCACCATTCTACACATGTTGGTATAGTTATGAAGTCTCCATCTCTCCTCCATGCTCAGCTAGGTCACCCCAGTCTTGCCAAATTGCAGCTATTTATTCACAATTTGTCCAATTTATCTAGTTTATTATATGAGTCATGTTAATTAGGGAAACATAGTTGTAGTTCATTTCCTTGTATTGTCTCATAACGTTCTTCATCCCCTTTTGTATTAGTTCACTCTGACATTTGGGGACCAGTGGTGTTAAATCTAATTTAGGTTTTCAGTATTTTGTTACCTTTATTGATAATTTTTCTAGAAGTAATATTTGGTTGTTTTTAATGAAAAATCGTTTTGAGTTGTTTTTTATATTCCAATCCTTTTTTAATGAAATTAAAACTCAATTTGGGATTTCTATTCGAATTTTATGAAGTGATAATGGTTGTGAATACATTTCTCATTCTTTTAAAAATTGTATGACTTCTCATGACATTCTTCATCAAATTTTGTGTTTATACATTTCAACAAAATGGAGTGGTTGAGCGCAAGAACAAACATTTTGTTGAAACAACTCACATTTTATTAATTCATGGTGAGGTTCCTAAATATTTTTGAGATGATTTTGTTCTTATTGCATGTTATCTTATTAATCGCATGTCATCTTCAGTTCTAAATAAAAAAATTCCTCATTCTCTTTTATTTCATCATGAACATCTACATCTCTTACCTCTTAAAGTTTTGGGGTCTATATGTTTTGTTCATAATTTTAGTCCTGGTCTTGATAAGTTATCTCCTAAATCACACAAATGTGTTTTTCTAAGATTTACTCGATACAAAAAAGATATAAGTGTTTCTCTCCTTCTCTTACCGTTTTTTTATTTCTAAAGATGTCACATTTAATGAGTCTTTTTTTCTTCTCCATGTGTGTCGTCATCTGTTACTGTCAATATTCCTATTGTGTGTGATTCTCCTTTTAGCCCACCTTTGGATTCTCCTCTGCCACCATCACTTCAGGTTTATAATTAAAGACAACAATCCCAACAACCACCAAATGACTCACGTCTAGTGCCAACTCATTTGTTACCTCTGGCTCCGACAACTGAGTTTGACATTCCAATTGTCCTTCGTAAAGGTATTCGCTCTACTCGTAATCTCTCTCCTCATTATAGTGTTTTGAGTTACCCTAGATTATCTCCACCTTGTTATACTTGTCTTTCGTCCATTTCTTTTGTGTCAATTCCCAAAGTCGTCGGTGATGCCTTAGCCTATCCTAGTTGGTGTCAAGCCATGCTTGATGAAATGAGTGTTCTTCAGAATAGTGGAACTCGTCATGTTACCATATGTAAAATCTGTTGTTGGTTGCAGGTGCGTATTTGCTATTAAAGTTGGTCTTGATGGTATTATTGATCATCTCAAAGCTCGTCTTGTGCCCAAAGGTGACACACAAATTTTTGGTTTGGACTATGGTGACACCTGTTCTCCAATGACAAAGGTGGCAAAGGTGACTTATGTTTGCTTATTCATAGCCATGACTATTCTTTAATAATTGTTTCTTTACCAACTAGATGTCAAAAATGCTTTTCTTAACGAAGATTTGCAGGAATAAATTTATATGGAGTAACCTTTAGGCTTTGTTGCTCAAGGGAGTCTTCTCAATTGGTATGTCATCTTCACAAATCTTTATATGGCTTAAAACAATCTCCTAAGCTTGGTTTGGAAAATTTAGCAGTATTGTTCAGTAGTTTAGTATGACTCGCAGTGAGTCAAATAATTCAGTATTTTACCGTCACTCAAGTGTTGGGTGTATCTATTTAATAGTATATATTTATGATATTATTCTTACTGGGAGTGATCATCATGGCATCTTCCAGATAAAACAACACCTTTGTCATCACTTTCAGACCAAAGATCTTAGTAAACTTAGATATTTCTTAGGGATTGAGGTAACACAATCCAATAATGACATTATTATATCTCAAAGAAAATATGCATTGAATATTTTAAAAGAAACTGGGTTGATGAACTCAAAATCTATTGACACACCCATGAATCCCAATACCAAACTCCTACCTAAT